CCCTCAGCCTCTCTCTTTCACCCACCCAACCCCTCTCACCCCCTTCCCTCTTTTCCTCTCCCCCCCCCAACCCCTCTCTCTAACCCCCTCTCCCTCTCTTCCCCATTTTCTCTAACTCCCATCTCTCTCTCAGTGCCCTCTCTCTCATCCCCCCCTTACCCCCTCTCTCTCTCTAACCTCCACCTCCTCTCTCACCCCCTTACTCTCCACCCTCCTCTCCCCCCTCACCCCTATCTTAACCCCCTCACTTTCACCCTCCCTTTCTCTCTCTCTCATCCCCTTTCATTCTTTATCTGCCCCCCTCTCCCTTTCTCTCTCACTCCCCCCACCCCCCTTTCTTTTACCCACTCAGCTCTCTCACCCCCTTTCTTTTTCTCTCTATCTAACCCCCTCTCTCTCATTCCCCCTCAACCCCCCCTTTCTCTCTAACCTCTATCTCTTTCTCACCCTCTCTTTAACCTCCCATTCCTCTCTCACCCCTTCTCTTCTACCCCCCCCCTTTATCTCTCCCCCTCCCCTCTCTTTCACCCAACCATCTCTCCCTCCCCTTTCTTTCACCCCCCCCTCTCTCTCTAACCCTCCTTATTTATTTTCATAAAATGGCTCATCAAAATTCTCCACACCCAGCCGATGATGCTATTAATCCCACCCTGTGTGAGACACAGATGAAGGAGTCAGAGATCTGGGGCGAGCATGCAGAAGATTCTGATTACACTCCTTTGTTGAGTAAAAAAAAGTTACATACAAATGTTGAATATTCTCATATTCAGCCAGCAGGTGGAGTCTTTGTATCCTTTTGCCAGACTAGTCTTATCTGCTTTGTTACATAAAAGCCTAATGTTTACTCAGTGTTACAAATGCAACTAAAGAAGCAGTGACTCCTCCCTCTCTCCGATTTTGTTTTTTCAGTTATAGAGAGACAGTCTGAAAGCAAACAGCTACTGCTGTTCTATAGTATTTGTAAAACTTTAATTACATTGTAACAAATTCTAAATCAAACTGAATGTTTTATAAATCCCGCTGAGAATTGAAATAGAATAAAAACAGAATATAGCTGTCTTATAAAATTCAAATTTAGAAGACAATATAATAAAACAGAACAGAATAGAAAATAAAAGAATAGAATAGAAAAGAATAAAACAGAAAGGATATAACCGTCTTTCAAAATTAAAATATTGAATAAAATAAATTTGAATTCGCATAGAACAGAGAAAAAAAATAGAATAGAAAATAAAAAAAAAACAGAATAGAAAGGAATAAAACAGAAAGGATATAACCGTCGAATATTGAATAAAATAAATTTGAATTTGCATAGAATAGAGGAAAAAAAAAAAAAAAGAACAGAACAGAAAAAAATAAAAGAATAGAATAGAAAATAATAAAATAGAAAGGATATAACTGTCTTTCGAAATTCGAATTTTGAATAAAATAAATTTGAATTCGCATAGAACAGAGAAAAAAAAAAAGAAATAGAATAGAAAGATAAAAAAAATAGAATAAAAAAAATAATAAAATAGAAAGGATATAACCATCTTTTGAAATTCGAATTTTGAATAAAATAAATTTGAATTCTCATAGAACAGAGAAAAAAAAAAGAATAGAATAGATATGAATAAAACAGAAAGGATATGACTGTCTTTCAAAATTCGAATTTTGAATAAAATACATTTGAATTTGTATAGAAAAGAGAAAAAAAAATGAATAAATTTGAATTCAATACTATTCGGTTCGGTTGAATCAAATTGTTTTGACCCAATTCCGAAATTTCAAATAGGATTTGAGAACGAATAAACAAAACAAAACGAATGATGAAAACAAATGTAACTGGCTGTTTCTGGCCAATGGGAATTGTAGTTCCTCAGTCACCAAAAAAAAAAAAAAAAAAAAAAAAAAACCTTTTTATTATTTATTTACCAAAATTCAGAGACGATGGCAGGAGGTAAACATTAATATTTTATTGAAGGCACTTCCGATATCTACAGCGGTCTGTCATATCAACCAATCTCCATCTATACAATACAGCGTGGAATCCAAATCACGTGCAAGAAAATCAGAGTTTTTTTTCTTTTTGAGGTAAAAAAAAAAAAAAAAACTCGACAAATAAAATGATACATTTACAACGACCTATAAAAACGAGACATTTACCATCGTCAATAATCGACTAATCACAAAGTATCACCATCAGTTTTTTGTAGTTTTTTTTGTAAAAAAAAAGGGATTTATAGCGGGATTAAAACTTTTTGTAAAGGAAGTAAACCGACCCAATAAAAAAAGTTTTATATTCTAATTTTTTTTTTTTTTTTCACCAGTCTGATCATTTTAGTTGTTGTTCTCATAGTCAATTTTTCTGATTCCTGGAAATCCATCCGAATCTTTTCACCGTTCACCAAAAAGCAGATCCATCGCCGCCACAAAACAACCGTTCCACGCCGCGCCGCAGACAAACGGGCTTGTTGGCTGCTAACATTTTGATTGGCTGCTGGTTGTTATATAGATACGTGCGGTTCGTTCCATTCTGAATTTGGACAATTTTTGCGTTACTCAAAGATTGGGATTTATCCAAATTCCAATAGTAACGAATTTAAACAAATCCAAAAGAATGAAGCAAAATTTTGTCTGAAATTTGAATCAAGTTTAAAATCTAAAATGAAATAAAAAATAGAATAAAACAGAATAGATTCCCAGTATCCCCTCCCCCGCCATCCTTTTTTTTTTTTTAGACAGGGCAGCATTTATTTTCAATTAGAGAGAGACAGTCTGAAAGCAAACAGCAACTGCTGTACTATGTTATCATTAAAACAAAAATTTGATATACATTGTAACAAATATGAAATCCAATCACCTTTTTATGGCTTCTGCATCTGACTGGTGATCGCCATCAGAAAATGTAAGTCAGAAGGTCCAAGATTCCTAGTATCCCCTCCCCCACCTTCCTTTTTTTTTTTTTTTTTTTTTAGACAGGGCAGCATTTATTTTCAATTAGAGAGAGACAGTCTGAAAGCAAACAGCAACTGATGTACATAGTATCGGTAAAACAAAGATTTTCTATACATTGTAACAAATGTGAATTCGAATTAACCTTTTTATGGCTTCTGCATCTGACTGGCCGGCTGGATAAATCCTCTTAAATGCCGGTGAATGACCTTTAAAAATGTACGCCAAATTTTCCCAGCACCCCCCCAGCACCACCCTCCCCTGGTCTTCTTTTTTTTTTTAGACAGGGCAGCATTTATTTTCTATTACAGAGAGACAGTCTGAAAGCAAACAGCAACTGATGTATATAGTATGGGTAAAACAAAGATTTGATATACATTGTAACAAACATGAAATCCAATCAAACTTTTTAAGGATTCTACATCTGACCGGCCGGCTGGCTAAATCCTTGTAAATGCCGGTGAATGCCATCAGAAAATGTATGCCGAAATGTCCAAGATTCCAAGTATCCCCTCCCCCGCCTTCCTTTTTTTTAGACAGGGCTGCATTTATTTTCGATTAGAGAGAGACAGCCTGAAAGCAAACAGCAACTGCTGTACTATACTATGGGAAAAACAAAGATTTGATATACATTGTAACAAATATGAATTCAAATTAACCTTTTCATGGCTTCTGCATCTGACCGGCCGGCTGGATAAATCCCTGCCAGTGAATGCCATCAGAAAATGTATGCCGAAAGGTCCAAGATTCCCAGCACCCCTCCCCCGCCTTCCTTTTTTTTATAGACAGGGCAGTATTTATTTTCAATTAGAGAGAGACAGTCTGAAAGCAAACAGCAAATATGAAATCCAAGCAACCTTTTTATGACTTCTACATCTGCCCGGTGAATGCCATCAGAAAATGTATGCTGAAAGGTCCAAGATTCCCAGTATCCCCTCCCCCGCCTTCCTTTTTTTTAGACAGGGCAGTATTTATTTTTCAATTAGAGAGAGACAGCCTGAAAGCAAACAGCAACTGCTGTACTATGTTATCAGTAAAACAAAGATTTCTGATACATTGTAACAAATGAATTGAAATCAATCTTTTTATGGCTTATACATCTGACCGGCCGGCTGGCTAAATCCTTGTAAATGCTGGTGGATGCCCTTTAAAAATGTACACCAAATTTTCTCAGCACCCCTCCCCCAGCCTACTTTTTTTTTAGACAGGGCAGTATGTATTTTCAATTAGAGAGAGACAGCCTGAAAGCAAACAGCAACTGATGTACACAGTATCGGTAAAAACAAAGGTTTTCTATATATTGTAACAAATGTGAATTCGAATTAACCTTTTTATGGCTTCTACATCTGACTGGCCTTGTAAATGCTGGTGAATGCCATCAGAAAAAGTATGTCAGAAGGTCCAAGATTCCCAGTATCCCCTCCCCCGCCTTCCTTGTCTTTAGACAGGGCAGCATTTATTTTCAATTAGAGTGAGACAGCCTGAAAGCAAACAGCAATTGATGTACATAGTATTGGTAAAGCAAAGATTGTATATACATTGTAACAAATATGAAATCCAAATCGACCTTTTTATGGCTTCTACATCTGAAAATGCCGGTGAATGCCTTTTAAAAATGTTCACCAAGTTTTCCCAGCACCCCTCCCCCAGCCTGACAGAACAGTATTTATTTTCAGTTAGAGAGAGACAGTCTGAAAGCATCCATCTCCTACATCTGACCGGCCAGCTTGTAAATGCCGGTGAACACCCACGAAAAATGTATACCGGCTGTTTGCAGGATCCCAAGTATCGCCACCCCCCCCCCCCCTTCTGCTTTCCTTTTTCTTTTTTTTTTTTAGACAGGACAGTGTTTATTCTCAATGAGGGAGAGACAGTCTGAAGGCATCCATCTCCTGCCTGTGGTCAGGTATCACCGTCTACGGTTTCTAGAGAGGTTCACCGCACAGACAGATGCAGGCCCACCTGGGAACACAATGAAAAGCCTGCTGAATTGGGCTTCTTCTGACTTGAGCGCAGCTGCAGCATTGCCTGGATCACATGACCCGTCCACGGGATGGCTGCCAGAACTAACACAGGCTGAAGTCTTTGGCTTTCTGGCTGATGGTGTGCCGCCGCCGTCGTTTGGGCTGGGGGCACTCCGCTCCGTAGGACGGCCAGTGGAAGCCCTTCATGTGACAGTTCTCAGCCCCGATCTCCTCGGATTCTGAGTCGTCTTCCTGGGGGAAGGGGAAGAGGCGGCCGGGATACGCTTCCTTCAGCAAGTCCTCGAAGATCACTTCCAGGTTCCTGCCGGCTTCGGCCACCTCTGAGTCTTCCTGGAAGGAAAAAAATATTAAAAATGAGGAATTTTATTACAGCAATGAAAAAACTTCCCTAAAAAAGATGGAGGACAATTCCCCTGCCCCCTAGGCCTTCCCTCCAGTTGTGCACAGGTGTACCGGCTCCTCCCCTTCAGTCTTGCACAGGTGTACCAAGTCCTCCCATTCAGTCTTGCACAGGTGTACCGACTCCTCCCCTTCAGTCTGGCACAGGTGTACTGGCTCCTCCCCTTCAGTCTTGCACAGGTGTACCGGCTCCTCCCCTTCAGTCTTGCACAGGTTTACCAGCTCCTCCCCTTCAGTCTTGCACAGGTGTACCAGCTCCTCCCCTTCAGTCTTGCACAGGTGTACCGGCTCCTCCCCTTCAGTCTTGCACAGGTGTATCGGCTCCTCCCCTTCAGTCTTACACAGATATACCGTCTCCTCCCCTTCAGTCTTTCACAGGTGTACCAGCTCCTCCCCTTTTAATCTTGCACAGGTATACCAGCTCCTCCCCTTCAGTCTTGCACAGGTGTACCGGCTCCAACCCTCCAGTCTTGCACAGGTGTATCGGCTCCTCCCCTTCAGTCTTGCACAGGTGTACCGGCTCCTCCCCTCCAGTCTTGCACAGGTGTACCAGCTCCTCCCCTTCAGTCTTGCACAGGTGTACCGGCTCCTCCCCTTCAGTCTTGCACAGGTGTACCGGCTCCTCCCCTTCAGTCTTGCACAGGTGTACCGACTCCTCCCCTTCAGTCTTGCACAGGTGTATCGGCTCCTCCCCTTCAGTCTTGCACAGGTGTACCGACTCCTCCCCTTCAGTCTTGCACAGGTGTACCGACTCCTCCCCTTCAGTCTTGCACAGGTGTACCGACTCCTCCCCAGACTGAAACAGCTTCCTCTGATGTCACTGCACACTGGGAGTTTCTTACAATGTGCATTAGAAGCTGCAGCCAGTCAGATAGAGCTCCGCCTCATTTCCTGGCTGGAGGACATCCAGTATCCATCTAGCTCATTCCTCCCCAGCCTGACCGCCCTTGGCCCCGCCCCTTTCATTTGTTGGATGTCAGTTCTTTCAATCATGGAGGTTCAGCATCACATGTGGGCGTTACCAATGCCTGCCTAGGAACACCCACCCCTCCAGATTGACACCCATCCATCAAGGCATTTTAATATTTGCATAACTCCTCCTAAGAGCCAGCCCACTGCTTGCATCATGCCCTGAGGACTCTTGAGAGGAGTACTGAGGCAGTAATGTATTCAGGAAGCTACGTACAGCACCCTGCTGGCCCTTCCCACCAGCCGTGATCTGCCTGCATTGCATAGAGAAGCACAGAGACCTGGTGATGATGTCACTGGGTCTGAAATAAGGTGTGTATTGAAAACAAAAAGGTTTTATTGAAACATTTCATTAACATGTTGATGAGGGGGGAGGGGGGGTCCAAGCAGATCGAATGTGCAGAACAAAAAAAATTCATTTTGTTTTGTTTCCGTTTCGTCATTTAAATAATTTACTTTACTTTTTTTATATAATGTTTAGTTACATTTTGTTTTGTTTCCTTTATTCATTTTCTAATTCGATTTTGAATTCAATTCGACTGAATCAAAAAGTTTCAATTATATTCTATTCAAAATTTCGAAGACGGTTATATTCTGTTTTATTCTCTTGTTTTTTTTTTCTGTGCTATTCTATTCTTTTCTATTCTAGTCTAATCTATTCTATTTGCATTTCAGAAGATGGTTACACTCTTCTTTCTGTTCTATTCTATTCTTTTCCTTCATTTTCTATTCTATTGTATTCTATTCTTTTAATTCTTTCTTTAGAAATTTGGAAATTTTTTCCATGAATTTCGATTTGTACCGATACTAACAGCACGTCTATTACCTGGCACTCCTCTATAACTCATTTGTTTTCTTCTCCCTCTATACGTATCTCATAAAAGCTTCAAATATTTCTAATATCTCTGAAAGAAATTTTTCATTAAAATAATCCCCGGTGATCCTGCCTTGTCCAGGCACTTCCTGTTATAGAGTGACAACGGTCTGTCTTTGGCTCCCAGTTATGCTCCTGTGTTGTCACCCCATCACATGGGCTGCCGACGGAGACTACAATGTCACCAGTGATGGTGTTTCTGCGTGGATACAATGTCACCAGTGATGGTGTTTCTGCGTGGATACAATGTCACCAGTGATGATGTCTCTGCGTGGATACAATGTCACCAGTGATGATGTCTCTGCGTGGATACAATGTCACCAGTGATGGTGTCTCTGCGTGGATACAATGTCACCAGTGATGATGTCTGTGTGGATACAATGTCACCAGTGATGGTCTCTGCGTGGATACAATGTCACCAGTGATGATGTCTCTGCGTGGATACAATGTCACCAGTGATTATGTCTGTGTGGATACAATGTCACCAGTGATGGTGTTTCTGCGTGGATACAATGTCACCAGTGATGATGTCTCTGCATGGATACAATGTCACCAGTGATGGTGTCTCTGCGTGGATACAATGTCACCAGTGATGATGTCTGTGTGGATACAATGTCACCAGTGATGGTCTCTGCGTGGATACAATGTCACCAGTGATGATGTCTCTGCGTGGATACAATGTCACCAGTGATTATGTCTGTGTGGATACAATGTCACCAGTGATGATGTCTCTGCGTGGATACAATGTCACCAGTGATGATGTCTCTGCGTGGATACAATTTCACCAGTGATGATGTCTCTGCGTGGATACAATGTCACCAGTGATGATGTCTCTGCGTGGATACAATGTCACCAGTGATGATGTCTCTGTGTGGATACAATGTCACCAGTGATGGGTGTCTCTGCGTGGATACAATGTCACCAGTGATGGTGTCTCTGCGTGGATGCAATGTCATCAGTGATGATGTCTCTGTGTGGATACAATGTCACCAGTGATGATGTCTCTGTGTGGATACAATGTCACCAGTGATGATGTCTCTGTGTGGATACAATGTCACCAGTGATGATGTCTCTGTGTGGATACAATGTCACCAGTGATGGTGTCTCTCCGTGGATACAATGTCACCAGTGATGGTGTCTCTCCGTGGATACAATGTCACCAGTGATGATATCTCTGCATGGATACAATGTCATCAGTGGTGATGTCTCTGCATGGATACAATGTCACCAAGTAAAGGAAGGTGTCACCGGATCATTAGGGACATTTAAATATCTATTTCAGAACACAATCGGCTATGGAAGAGCGCCGTCCTCTCCTGTTACCAGGAGCCATTCATCACCCTCTCCCATCTTATATTTCCCCGCTCCGCCATCCGAGATATGATATTCCCGTGAGCTGCGGATCCAAATCTGGGTGGAGCAGTAAAATGGTTCTGGCCCGGGTTCAGGTATTGAGTGTCCATTGTGACGCACTTCAATTGCCGCTAATTGCCTGCAATGTGTACAGAGCCGGGAACGGCGACTGAGCCCTCCGCAAATATTTAGAGACTGAAAACACAGCGACGGCCAACTTCTGATGGACATTGGCTGCGAACGGGGAGGAAAAAAATCAGAGAATTCTCATATCCCCAAAATTTCAGTAAAATGTAAAAAATGTCGGTGAAATGGCATTGGGTTCAATGAGGATGCTGAAGTCTAATCTACATAGATGTTGTCTTCCCTGATTCCTCCCCTCCCCCTTCAATATTAAATATTAAACAACTCTTCCTAATTTGAATACATTATTTAGGGCCCAGTGATATCATCACTGGGTCTCTGTGCTTCTCAATGCAGACAAATCATGGATTTTGAGAGGGGAAAGGCAAGGTGCTATGATATTTCCAGGAGGCTATGGACAGCACCTCGCTGGCCCCTCCCCCTTATCAGCATGCTAATCAAATATTAAAATTAAACCCTTCTGTTTTCGTTACATATCTTATTTCAGAGGAATTTATTAAATTTTATTGTGTTTATCTTATTTTGTTTAAATTATTTATTTTATTTTTTATATTTAATTTATTGGCTTTATCTTATTTTATTTGAATTAATTTTATTTTATTATGTTTATTTTATTTTTTTTTATTTTATATTGTTTATTTTATTTTATTTTATTATGTTTATTTTATTTTTTATTGTTTATTTTATTGTGTTTATCTTATTTTATTGTAATTAATTAATTAAATTTATTATGTTCATTTAATTTTTTTTTTTATTTCATTTTGTTTATTTTATTTTAATTATTTTTTATTGTTCATTTTAAATAGTTTTATTTTATTTTATTATGTTTATTTTATTTATTTTATATTGTTTATTTTATTTTGTAATGTTTATTTTCATTTTTTTTTTATTTAATTTTGTTTATTTTATTTTATTTTAGAGGCATTGATTGGTTCCTGCCCCCACCCCCCGCCCACCAAATCAACATTAAATGTTAAATACATTTTTCTGATTTTATTACATTATTTAGGACCCAGTGATATCATGTCTGAGTCTCTGTGCTTTTCTATGCAATGCAGGCAGATCAGGGCTGGTGGGAGGGGCCAGCAGAGTGCTATACATAGCTTCCTGAATGTATCACCTCTGTACTCCTCTCAAGAGCGTTCAGTCCTGATGCAAGCAGTGGGAGGAGTTATGCAAATATCAAAATGCCTTGATGGGTGGAGTTGGTCTGGAGGAGATGGGCGTTCCTAGGCTGGCTGTATTTGCATAGGTAACGCCCACATAGGATGCTGAGCCTCCAAGATTGAAAGACCTAAAATTCAATATCTGAAATTGGCGGGGCCAGGACCATCAGGCTGGGGAAGGAAGAGTTAGATGATGCTGGACGTCCTCCAGCCAGGGAATGAGGCGGGGCTCTGACATTTCATAAGATATCCTCGCGGCACAAGACTCGTCACTTACGTAGTTGAATTTAGCGCAGTTCCAGAACATGAGCCGTATGTCGGACACCAGCTCCTCGGGGGCGGAGTAATGGGGGATGTTCCTCTTCTGCAGCTTCTTCCGGATGATTGACAGGTCCATCGGCCTCTTGATAATCTGGTAATAGTGACGTGCCTTCATTAAAAGATGCGCATACAACAAACACGTCAGTCTGATGATGGAGGACAGCGGACACAACATGAATCCCTAATCACATCACATGACTCTCATTGACCAATCAAATCTTACAGGTCTATTTCTAAACACATTTCCTGTGATAACTCAGCCATGCCACTAGATGTCCTCAGTCTGATGGCCACCATCGTTCCAACCCACTGAGCCCCGCCCCCAGCCTGTAATTGGACAGTGAGAGGAGAAGCAGCACAGTGAAGGGCTCATCTGTCTCTCCTCCTATCAGCATGCTGGGCTTTTTTTGTCAGCGGATGAACTGATTGGCTCCTTGTCCCTCCCTGCTGTACGGGGACTGCGAGAAGCCGATACCGGGTCACATTCAGGGACTTCCCTGCAGGGATGGATGGCAACTCTCCTTGGGGGGGGGTTCAGACCCCCCTGACCCCCCCCCCTTATCTACGCCCCGTCAGTTTGTATTTAATAAATATTAACAAACTGTCTTTCTACTTGGAGTTCAACTTTAACCTTGATAAACGGCCAGGCGGGAGCGCTGCCGATGCGGGGGGGATGTTTCTAAACATCCCCCCGCATCCACTGCCTGTGCGTGCTCCCTGGGACCGTGCAGAACTGTGATCGCTGTACGGGACCTCTCTGTGAGATCCCGATCATGTGATCCCTGATTGGCCAATTAGTGATCACATGAAGAGTAGTAAGCAAGATGTCACTTCCTGACATCATTGCTTACTACGTGTGAAATCTGTGAATGAGCACCGAGGTCACATGGTACAATGCTGTTATGAATGGCCCTGTAACATGTGACAAGCTGGGACCAATCACAGCTCTCACAGTAGTTCTCAATGGCTGCAGGAATGCAGCCAGAGAGAAGGAGAAATTATTCCTCTTATAGCCTTTATGGGCGTAAAAGCAATCAGTGTGAAAAAAGAAAAAAAATTCTTCATCACCCCCACAAGTAGTACAGTGTCACCATGGTGACACTGTACTGCTAGGGTGACAGTATGTAAAAAAAAAAAATAAAAAAAAAAATAAATAATATAAAAAAATAAAATAAAAATGTAAAAAACAAATTAGAAAAATTATAAATTTAATTGTTGGTTATAAACTAATTTGGGTTTATAATCAGTGTAAAAAAAGAAAAAAAAATCTTCATCACCCCCCACAAGTAGTACAGTGTCAGCATGGTGACACCGCACTGCTAGGGTGACAGTATGTAAAAAAAAAATATATATATATATATATATATATATATATATATATATATATATATGTATAAATAACAATATAAAAAAAATAAAAATGTGAAAAAAAAAAATTGAAAAATTATAATTTATGGTTATAAACTAATTAGGGTTGTTTTCTTTTTTTTTACTTAAAAATATAACTGAATACATTTTGGGCCGAGATTTATGAAGAAGGACTATTTATTTGCAAAACTTTATTAAAAAAACAGTTTTTTTCAAGATTTTAGGTCTTTTTCATATAGCAAAAAAAAATTAAAATCCCAGCGGTGAATCAATACCACCAAAATAAAGCTTTTATCTGTCTCAAAAAAAATGCTAAAAAATTCATATGGGTACAGTGTTGCATGACTGCGCAATTGTCATTCAAAGTGTGATAGCGCTGAAAGCTGAAAATTGGCCTGGGGGGGGGGGGGGAAGGCGGTGAAAGTGTCTGGACTGGAAGGGGAGAAAGTGTCCGGACTGGAAGGGGGTGAAAGTGTCCGGACTGGAAGGGGGGGAAGTGTCCGGACTGGAAGGGGGGGAAGTGTCCGGACTGGAATGGGGGGGAAGTGTCCGGACTGGAAGGGGGGGAAAGTGTCCGGACTGGAAGGGGGGGGAAAGTGTCCGGACTGGAAGGGGTTAAATCCAAACTCCATGTCATGACAATTTCCTGTCACAGTGACACCAGGCATCAGGGTGCACAAGGGGGAGGAAGTGAAGGTGAATCTCCCTAATGGGGACACTGACGGCAATAAAAGACATTTTCTCCTGATATATAAAAGATCTTTCTTCTGCTTATCAAAGTAATAACAATGTCCGTCTCCAGCCTGCAGATGGCGAAGTTCAACCACATTCCAGCTCTGCGCAGAATTTCCTGCCAGGTAAACGCCTCTTTGCCGTCCGTTATTATATACTAATAAAAGTTAATTAGCTGCTGTCCCCGACGGCCATTTTATCTATTTTCCATTTAGGCTGGACAGAGTCTCATTTCATGGATGACTCCCAACCTTCCCAGGTAATGAGTGTCCAGTGAGATTAATATTAATATTTAAACTGTATTAATTTTTTATCCTCTGTCTAGTTTTATTTTAATATATTTTAATTTTATTTTATTATAATTTTTTGCTTTTTTATATATACATATATTATTTTATTATTATTATTTTTTACATTGATATTTTATACATTTTCATGTTATTTATCTATTTTTCATTGTATTATTTTTATTTTGTATATTGATTTTATTTAATTTTACTAATTTTATAGTCTATATATTTTTAGTTTATACATTTTAACTTTATTTTATTAGTTCATAAAGATATATATATATATATATATATATATATATACACACACACACATATATATATATATATAATATATATATATATATATATATATATATATATATAATTTTTTTTATATGTATGAACATATAAAATAAAGTTAAAATGTATAAAATATTATGTAAAAATAAATAAATATACCTAGAATATAAAAATGTAAATAAAATATAATACGATTAAAATGTATACAATATTAACACACACATATACCGTATATATATACACACACACACACACATACATATGTGTGTGTTAATATTTTATACATTTTAATTGTATTATATTATTTTATTTATATTTTTATATTTTCTATTCTAGATAGATTTGTTTTTTTCATAATATTGTATACATTTTTACTTTAGTTTATTAGTTTATTTATATTTTTATATTTATATTTTATTTTTGATCCATGAAAAAAATGCATAAAAAAAACCTTTTTAATTGGTTATAATGATAATGAAAAGATTGTACGGCAGATGTTACAGAGCGGTATGCAGTGTAAAGTAGATCTATGACCTCCAGACGTATCCGCACCGTTGTTTTTTTGCCCGATCCCTGATGAAGGGAGGCCGCTTGTATCACCCAAAATGCGTCAGTCTTACAGTGAATGTTTTTGGAATTAAAAAAAACTTGTTCTGAAACACAAATCTTTTGCAGACCATACATGGTTTGAATTCCGAACAATTTTTTAGTCCGAAAATCGAAAACGTCGTTCGTTCTGTAATCTGACGGTGCCACCAATGATTTCGGAAATTGGTTGTTTTTCATGAATTTTTCCAGCATGCCCGATAAATAAAAAGGGGAGGAGCCACGAAAATCGGTCACTGCCATCACCCCACTAACAGAGCGAAAATCGTCCGATTATTCTTAGGTCTGATTTTTGTACGAAAATCGTTGGGAATTCGAACCATGTATGGCCTGCATTAGTCTTGGCGCTCCCACCCAGGGGTGGACTGACAACTCATGGGGCCCCCGGGAAATAGGAAATCATGGGGCCCCTGTGTCATTGCCCACACTCAAACCACACCCAAAAAAGCCAATGAAAGGTACCAGGGGCATCTCATGGGGCCCCCTACTGACCCCCCCGGGCCCTCAGGCAGTGCAGGTTAGTCCGCCCCTGCTCCCTCCATGTATTCCTGGTCATTACTGGGACCCGAGCCTCGCCTGGGTGATCGATCTCTTAGAGAGATCTGCCTAAGAAGAATCCCACCAACACACCGAATACCCACTTGGGGGGCGTCACCCATACAAGGACAGATCTGGCGCTCTCTAGGTTTTCAGTCACGACTGCTCATCATCCAGACAGAAGAAGTGCCACTTACCAGAGGGCTGACCGGCTCCTGGAAGGGGACACTCAGACTGTTACAATACAGAGAGAGGACCAACTTCTCACACTTCTGCAGAGAGAAACAAACCATCAGAAACAATGTATCTGCCTGGAGGGTAGGAGGAACGAACATTGCTCCTTGTCATTCCACAGAACAACGACATTATTGAGTTCTACATCGATCTCCTGCACACTCAGGGGGTCTATTCAAAGAGGATTCACTCGGGCCGTAGATCGGTTTTTGTTTCCGTGGGGGCGGGGGAGTTAAGCCTGGGGCACCTACAGGGAAATATTTGATTAATTTTGGGTGCGGAAAAATTGCGCTCACAGTGCAGGGGGGGGTAAAACCTTGAGTCTGCTCAGTATGTGCACTGTGACATGTGTCTCCCCCCCAGTACAGATCTCCCCCCTCAGAGTAGTAGTTTTCCCCAGATCCCCCAGTACAGATCCCCCCCCCACATGTACAGCTCAGCCAGTATAGATTCTCCCCTCAGAGCACCTCCTACAGTACAGCTCTCCCCACCCAGAGCAGCTCACCCCCAGTACAGATCCCCCCCCACATGTACAGCTCCCACCAGTACAGATCCCTCCGCCCCCCCCACATGTACAGCTCCCCACCAGTACAGATCCCCCCACCCACATGTACAGCTCCCACCAGTACAGATCTTCCCCCTTAGAGAAGCTAACCCCCAGTACAGATCTCCCCCAAGTACAGATCTCCCCCAGTACAGCTCACCTTCAGCACAGATTTCACCCCCACCCCAAGAGAGATCACTCCCCAGAACTGCTCCCCCCAGTACAGCTCCTTTCAGTATAAATCTCTGACCAGTACAGATCCCCTCCACCCCAGTACATATTTCTTTTAAGTACAGCTTCCCCAATACAGATGTTCCCCTCAGAGCATTCCCCCCAGTACAGATCTCCCCCAATGATGGCTCCCACAGTACAAATCTCTCCATAGTACAGCTCCCCAGTACAGATCTTCCACTCAGAGCAGTTTTCCCCAATACAGATCTCCCAGCTCCCCCCATTATGGCTCCCCAGTACACATCTCTCCATAGTACAGATCTTCCCCTCAGAGCAGCTTCCCCAGTACAGATCTCTCTACAGAACAGCTCCCCCCCAGTACAGATCTCTTCCTAGCACAGCTCCCCCAGTACAGATTTCTCTACAGAACAGCTCCCCCCCCCCCCAGTACAGATCTCTTCCTAGCACAGCTCCCCCAGTACAGATCTCTCTACAGAACAGCTCCCCCCCCCCCCCAGTACAGATCTCCACCAGTACAGATCTCTTCCTAGTACAGCTCCCCCAGGACAGATCGTTCCCCAGTACAGGTCTCTCTACAGAAGAGCTCCCCCCAGTACAGATCTCCCCCCATTATGTCTCCCCAGTACAAATCTCTCCATAGTACAGCTCCCTCAGTAGATATCTTCCTCTCAGAGCAACTCCCCCAGTACAGATCTCTCCCCAGTACAGATCTCTCTACAGAACAGCTCCCCCCCAGGACAGATCTCTTCCTAGTACAGCTTCCCCAGTACAGATCTCCTCCCAGTACAGATCAACTCCCAGTACAGGTCCCTCTACAGAACAGCTCCCCCCCAGTACAGATCTCCCCCCATTATGGCTCCCCAGTACAAATCTCTCCATAGTACAGCTCCCTAAGTACAGATCTTCCTCTCAGCAGCAGCTCCCCCAGTACAGATCTCTCCCCAGTACAGATTTCTCTACAGAACAGCCCCCCCCTCCCCCCCCCCCCCCAGTACAGATCTCTTTCTAGTACAGCTCCCCCAGTACAGATCTCCTCCCAGTACAGACCAACTCCCAGTACAGGTCTCTCTACAGAACAGCTCCCCCCAGTACAGATCTCCCCCCACTATGGCTCCCCAGTACAAAATCTCTCCATAGTACAGCTTCCCCAGTACAGATCTCTCCCCAGTACATATCTCTCTACAGAACAGCTCCCCCAGTACAGATCTCCACCAATACAGATCTCTTCCTAGTACAGCTCCCCCAGTACAGATCTCCACCAATACAGATCTCTTCCTAGTACAGCTCCCCCAGTACAGATCCCTCAAGTACAGATCTCTCTACAGAACAGCTCACACCCCCCCCCCCCCCCCCCCCCCGTACAGATCTCCACCAGTACAGATCTCTTTCTAGTACAGTTCCCCCAGTACAGATATTTCCCCAGTACAGATCTCCTCCCAGTACAGATCAACTCCCAGTACATGTTTCTCCATAGTACAGCTCCCCCCCAGTACAGATCTCTCTACAGAACAGCTCCACCCAGTACAGATCTCCACCAGTACAGATCTCTTCCTAGTACATAACCCCCAGTACAGATCCCCCCAGTACAGATCTCTCTACAGAACAGCCCCCCCCCCAGTACAGCTCCCCCCCCCCCCCCAGTACAGATCTCCACCAGTACAGATCTCTTCCTTGTGCAGCTCCCCCAGTACAGATCTCCTCTCAGTACAGATCAACTCCCAGTACAGGTCTCTCTACAGAACAGCTCCCCCCCAGTACAGATCTCCCCCATTATGGCTCCCCAGCTCCCCAGTACACATCTCTCCATAGTACAGCTCCCCCAGTACAGATCTCTCCCCAGTACAGATCTCTTCCTAGTACATCTCTCCCCAGTACATATCTCTCTGCAGAACAGCTCCCCCCCCCCCCCCCCATTACAGATCTCCACCAGTACAGATCTCTTCCTAGTACATCTCCCCCAGTACAGATCAACTCCCAGTATAGGTCTCTCTACAGAACAGCTCCCCCCCAGTACAGATCTCTCCCAATTATGGCTCCCCAGTACAAATCTCTCTACAGAACAGCTCCCTCAGTACAAATCTCCCCCAGTACAGATCCTTCCACAGTGCAGCTCCTCCAGTAAAGCTCTCCTCCCATTGCAGATTCCCCCCAGTACAGATCCCCTTCCCAGCACAGTTCCCACTAGCAGAGATGCCCCTTTTCCCAGTAAAACTCCCCTCCAGTACAGACCTCCCCCACCCCCTTCAATACAGCTCCCATCAGCACAGATCTTCCATTTTCTCTCCCCCCCCCCTTCTTCCTCTCCTTCTCTCCCCCCCTCTTCTTCCTCTCCTTCTCTCCCCCCCCCCCCCCTTCTTCCTCTCCTCTTTTTCTCCCTTTCTTCTCCCCCTTCCATCTCTCTCTCATTCTCCCCTTCCCCCATCACCACTCTTTCATTCTCTCCTCTCTCCATAAGTATATTATAATATTATATATACACATATGAGAAGAAATAATAATTGTCTCGGATGACTCACCCTCTGATTGCAGGCGTCTAGGTGCGGTAACATCCCCTCCTCTATTTTATTGTCCCGGCTATACCGAACGTTATCGCAGTCGTATTCGACCTCCGGCTTCTTGTCATGGCGGCACAGCGTGCACACCCATTCACCACTGCGGGACACATACCAAAATTACTCTTCATTTCCAAATCTATCCAACCTCCCCCCCCCCCCCTTCCTTGGAGGTGAACAAATGATTACTTCAGCTGCAGATTCCTCTGTGGCCAGTAGGTGGCAGGTCAGTATAATTCTCCTCCCCACCATGTGCCAGCAGCAGACAGGAGGCTTCATCCAATCAGGAACCTGTATTGTGTTTTTCCTCTATTGACTGCCTATCAGGGAGTACAGTCAGCCACCTTGCTAAATGACTGCTGAGATAAAATCAACTGGCCACACAAAGTATTGTTTTCAGCCATCCTGACATCTAGGACAGCGACATCTTTGTTCAGGCATCCTCCAGAGCCACATCTACGCCCTGGATGGAGATGCCGGCTCAGAGATGACACGGTCCTGGTGCCTGTACAGTTTTTGGCCGTGTTCACAAATGCCTCCTCTTCCTTCTACAAAGTTACAATGTACAGTCTGATCACTGGGGGAGGGGAGACTGAGGAAATGCCTCCTCCTCCTTGTACAAAGTTACAATGTACAGTCTGATCACTGGGGGAGGGGGGACTGAGGAAATGACTCCTCCTCCTTCTACAAAGTTACAATGTACAGTCTGATCACTGGGGGAGGAGACTGAGGAAATGCCTCCTCCTTCTTCTACAAAGTTACAATGTACAGTCTGATCACTGGGGGAGGGAAGACTGAGGAAACGCCTCCTCCTGCCCGCAGCAGACCGATGACATCTTCCCAGCCTAGGCAAAGTCACTGACATGAGCTCAAAGGATGTCTTTTAATGAAAACTAATGCATTGTTGTATACTGAGACATATCCGGGATGTATATCTTGGGGCTTCCCAGTAGCTCAGTGTAACTATGGAAGGTGGGATGACCCCCCCCCCCTGGGTTGACCCCCCCCCCCGGGATGACCCCCCCCCCCCCCATGATGACCCCCCATGAGAGCAGCACTACCTACACAGGGAAGCTGAGCAGAGCCGGGACATGGCAGGACAGGTGGTAGACCTTCGGGCAATTGTCGCAGCACAGCATTTCCCCTCCGTTCAGACAAACCGCACAGAAATCTTCGTTCTCTATGTGGCCGGGGCCCTCCGACTTCTTCATAGGTTGGGGCCCCAGGAAGGTTTCACACTTCTGGCTCGGTTCTTCCATGGCCCGGGGTGCCACCATATGTCGGATCTCCTGACCCGTCCCGCCTGTGTATGAGTGAATACGCGGGAAAAGGTGGGTCTTCGGTGGGGGTGGGAGCGGGGGCGGTGGTGGTGGTGGCGCAGGATTCGGAGCGGAATGAGGAAAGGAGTCCATAGCGTATGATATGGGGGCCAGCTGTGGAGCCTCGCTGGGGGCGGAGGATGGGGGGGTGTTGTCTGTGTTCATCTGCAACGACAGAACCTCAATCAGTAATATCCTTCCTGAACTTCAACTAATTATTGTCATTTCAAAAGTCATTTTCAATCATTTTTATTAACCACTTCCAGTCCGGACACTTCCCCCCCCTTCCAGTCCGGACACTTCCCCCCCCCCCCCTTCCAGTCCGGACACTCCCCCCCCTTCCAGTCCGGACACTCCCCCCCTTCCAGTCCGGACACTTCCCCCCCCCTTCCAGTCCGGACACTCCCCCCCTTCCAGTCCGGACACTTCCCCCCCCCCCTTCCAGTCCGGACACTTCCCCCCCCTTCCAGTCCGGACACTTCCCCCCCCTTCCAGTCCGGACACTTCCCCCCCCCCTTCCAGTCCGGACACTTCCCCCCCCTTCCAGTCCGGACACTTTCCCCCCTTCCAGTCCGGACACTTGCACCCCCTTCCGGTCCGGACACTTTCCCCCCCTTCCGGTCCGGACACTTTCCCCCCTTCCAGTCCGGACACTCGCCCCCCCCTTCCGGTCCGGACACTTTCCCCCCCTTCCGGTCCGGACACTTTCCCCCCCCTTCTAGTCCGGACACTTTCACCCCCTTCCAGTCCGGACACTTTCCCCCCCTTCCAGTCCCGACACTCCCCCCTTCCAGTCCGGACACTTTCACCCCCTTCCAGTCCGGACACTCCCCCCCCCCCCCCCCCCCCCCAGGCCAATTTTCAGCTTTCAGCGCTATCACACTTTGAATGACAATTGCGCGGTCATGCAACACTGTACCCATATGAATTTTTTAGCATTTTTTTGAGACAGATAAAACTTTATTTTGGTGGTATTTATTCACTGCTGGAATTTTTATTTTTTTTGCTATGTAAATGAAAATGTCCAAAAATTTTGAAAAAAAGTGTTTCTTATAAAATTTAGCAAATAAATAATGTTTCATCATAAATCTTGGCCAAAATGTATTCTGTTATCTTTTTAGTAAAAAAAAAAACCCAAATTAGTTTTATAACCAAAAATTTTAATTTTAAACATTTTTTTTCACATACTGTCACCCTAGCAGTACACGGTCACCATGGTAACACTGTACTACTTGTGGGGGGTGATGAAGATTTTTTTTTTTGCACACTGATTGCTTTTACACCCATAAAGGCTGTAAAAAACAATCATTTCTCCTCTCTGGCTGCATTCTTGCAGCCATTGAGAAATACTATGTGAGCTGTGATTGGTCACAGCTGGTCACATGGTACAAGGCTGTTGTGAATAGCCTTGTACCATGTGATCTCTGTGATCATTCACAGATTTCACACATAGTAAGCAATGATGTTAGGAAGTGACATCTTGTGTACTACTCTGCATGTGATCACTGATTAGCCAATCAGTGATCACATGATCGGACCTCGCACAGAGATCCCGTAAGACGATCGGTATTCCGGAGGACACAGCGGGCACTGGATTGCGGTGCTGCGCGCTCCCAGGGGGTGGGGAGGCCGTTTATATACATTGGCCGGACGGGAAGTGGTTAAATCTACAAATTTCCTTCAACTAATAATAACAATAATAAAGGTCTCAGCAAATCCTGTTTACAACGCAACAAACCTGATCGGTGAAGTCCATGGGGGACGAAAAAGCTGACCGAAATGTCACCGTAGTTTTTCTAAGAGATTAATGCTTGGGTCGGCAGAGAGGAGGACAGAACTCCTCCTACAGATCCTGTGCCTCTCTGTGCAACTGAAGCACCCTCTTGTCTTCACCCCCACCTTGTCTCAGTAATCAGAAGCAGAGAGGAGGACAGAACTCCTCCTACAGATCCTGCTTCTCTCTGTGCAGCTGCATCACCTTATCTCCGCCCCCACCTTGTCTCAGTAGTCAGCAGCAGAGAGGAGGACAGAACTCCTCCAACAGATCCTGCTTCTCTTTGTGCAGCAGCAGCACCCCTTCGTTTCTGACCCCACCTTGTCTCAGCAGTTGGCAGCAGAGAGGAGGACAGAACTCCTCTAACAGATCCTGCTTCTCTCTGTGCAGCAGCAGCACCCCTTCGTTTCTGATCCCACCTTGTCTGAGCAGTCGGCCCCAGAAAGAAGAACAGAACTCCTCCTACAGATCCTGCACCTCTCTGTGTAGCTGTAGCACCCTATCTCCACCCCACCTTATCTCAGTAGTCAGCAGCAGGAGGACAGAACTCCTCCTACATATTCTGCTTTTCTCTGTGCAGCTGCAGCATCTCATCTCCACCCCCACCTTGTCTCAGCAGTCAGCAGCAGAGCGAAGAACAGAACTCCTCCTACAGATCCTGCACCTCTCTGTGCAGCTGCAGCATTCCATCATCTCCACCGCCACCTTGTCTCAGTAGTCAGCAGCAGAGAGGAGAACAGAACTCCTCCTACAGATCCTGTACCTCTCTGTGTAGCTCTGTGCAGGTACAGAACCTCATCTCCTCCCCCACCCAGTCTCAGTAGTCAGCAGCAGAGAGAAGGACAGAACCCCTCCTACAGATCCCTGCGCCTCTATGTGCAGCTGCTGCACCCCTTTTTCTCCCCCTCCTCTAGTCTCAGCATTGAACAGACTCCGACAGCTGACTCCAGCCCTCCTCCGGTCCTCCTCCAGACCCTGCACTATCTGCTTCTCAGCTCCACCCCGTTTCTTCACAGCAGCAGCACCAGGTAAGGGGGCTGCACTGTGATGTCACTTAGGGTGGGGGAGTCTTGATTTCTGATGGTGGGGGGCTCTCGACATCTAGTCTTACAAACACAACTTGCCCTTCGAGGGCAACCATAATTCTGAGATGGCCCGAGGTTGACACCCCTGCTATAGCGTATGGCCGGCTTTAGATGGCGCCAAGCACTAGAGCTCCGATTGGCTTAGAGTCCTGCACCTCCATCTCCCACCGGATGTCCACGACGGGAGGACCTACCTTTATGGACATGCTCCTGGACCTGGCTCCGTATTTGATGAGTAAGCGCACCGAGCCATCTTCATCCTTCTTCTGGGGCTGCACCTTGAAGGTGGGGAGCTCTCCGGAATCCTGAGGACAGATCTTCAGCCGTTCCAGCGCACGTACGGGATTTTGGTTTCTTTGGGTTCCGGCCTGGAAATCAAGAACGATTCGTTACCCACACTGAAAGCGAGGAGGACACGGCGAGGAGAACACAAGGGGGGGGGTAGATTTCCTACCTTGGGGCTTCTTGTTGGGTCTTTGTGTCCTCGGGATAATGCGGCTTGAAACGGTTTTCAGAATCTGAGAGAAAATTCATAGTGGTGTCAGTAAGACAAAGATCTGTATAGAGGAATCAGGACCTCCTTCCTCCCGCCGGTGACCCCTCTAGTGATAGATCTATATAGAGGAATCAGGACCTCCTTCCTCCTGCCGGTGACCCCCCTAGTGATAGATCTATATAGAGGAATCAGGACCTCCTTCCTCCTCCTGCTGACCCCTCTAGTGATATAAAGATCTATATAGAGGAATCAGGACCTCCTTCCTCCTGCCGGTGACCCCTCTAGTGATATAAAGATCTATATAGAGGAATCAGGACCTCCTTCCTCCTGCCGGTGATTCCTCTAGTGATAGATCTATATAGAGGAATCGGGACCTCCTTCCTCCTGCCGGTGACCCCTCTAGTGATAGGATCTATATAGAGGAATCAGGACCTCCTTCCTCCTGCCGGTGACCCCTCTAGTGATAGGATCTATATAGAGGAATCAGGACCTCCTTACTCCTGCCGGTGACCCCTCTAGTGATATAAAGATCTATATAGAGGAATCAGGACCTCCTTCCTCCTGCCGGTGACCCCTCTAGTGATATAGAGATCTATATAGAGGAATCGGGACCTCCTTCCTCCTGCCGGTGACCCCTCTAGTGATAGATCTATATAGAGGAATCAGGACCTCCTTCCTCCTCCTGCTGACCCCTCTAGTGATATAAAGATCTATATAGAGGGATCGGGACCTCCTTCCTCCTGCCGGTGACCCCTCTAGTGATAGGATCTATATAGAGGAATCGGGACCTCCTTCCTCCTGCCGGTGACCCCTCTAGTGATATAAAGATCTATATAGAGGAATCGGGACCTCCTTCCTCCTGCCGGTGACCCCTCTAGTGATAGGATCTATATAGAGGAATCAGGACCTCCTTCCTCCTGCCGGTGACCCCTCTAGTGATAGGATCTATATAGAGGAATCAGGACCTCCTCCTCCTGCCGGTGACCCCTCTAGTGATAGGATCTATATAGAGGAATCGGGACCTCCTTCCTCCTGCCGGTGACCCCTCTAGTGATAGGATCTATATAGAGGAATCAGGACCTCCTTCCTCCTGCCGGTGACCCCTCTAGTGATAGGATCTATATAGAGGAATCAGGACCTCCTTCCTCCTGCCGGTGACCCCTCTAGTGATATAAAGATCTATATAGAGGAATCAGGACCTCCTTCCTCCTGCCGGTGACCCCTCTAGTGATATAAAGATCTATATAGAGGAATCGGGACCTCCTTCCTCCTGCCGGTGACCCCTCTAGTGATAGGATCTATATAGAGGAATCTGGACCTCCTTCCTCCTGCCGGTGACCCCTCTAGTGATATAAAGATCTATATAGAGGAATCAGGACCTCCTTCCTCCTGCCGGTGACCCCTCTAGTGATAGATCTATATAGAGGAATCAGGACCTCCTTCCTCCTGCCGGTGACCCCCCTAGTGATAGATCTATATAGAGGAATCAGGACCTCCTTCCTCCTGCCGGTGACCCCTCTAGTGATAGGATCTATATAGAGGAATCAGGACCTCCTTCCTCCTGCCGGTGACCCCTCTAGTGATAGGATCTATATAGAGGAATCGGGACCTCCTTCCTCCTGCCGGTGACCCCTCTAGTGATAGGATCTATATAGAGGAATCAGGACCTCCTTCCTCCTGCCGGTGACCCCTCTAGTGATATAAGGATCTATATAGAGGAATCAGGACCTCCTTCCTCCTGCCGGTGACCCCTCTAGTGATAGGATCTATATAGAGGAATCAGGAACCTCCTCCTTCCTCCTGCCGGTGACCCCTCTAGTGATAGGATCTATATAGAGGAATCAGGACCTCCTTTCCTCCTGACCCCGGTGACCCCTCTAGTGATAGGATCTATATAGAGGAATCGGGACCTCCTTCCTCCTGCTGGTGACCCCTCTAGTGATAGGATCTATATAGAGGATTCAGGACCCCCATTGTAATTCCTCCCCCCTATAGTGACCCCCTAGTGATCAGGATTCTACTTACCTGAGGAACTCAGCGCGTTCCTTCCGCCGTGTTCCCGTGACCAGTTCTAGTCTTCAGGGCGGATCTGTGAGAGGAATCAGGACCTCCTTCGTCACTGCGGTGACCCCGCCTAGTGATCCTGACAGCTATATAGAGGAATCGGGCCTCCTCCTCCGGGCCGGACCCCTCTATAAGGATCTATATAGGGCCGAGTTTGCCCCTTCCTCCTGCCAGGTCCTGACTCTAGGGCGGCCGATCTATAGGAGGGAGGAATCAGGACGCTCCTTCCTCCTGCCGGTGAGCCCTCATGATAATCTATATAGAGGAATCAGGACCTCCTTCCTCCTGCCAAATGACCCCCCTAGTGATCCGATCTATATAGTGCTGAATCAGGACCTCCTTCCTCCTGCCGGTGACCCCCCTTTAGTGTAGGATCTATATAGAGGAAAATTTCCCACAAATCATTATCACTCAGTGATTCTATAAGTGGTTCTGATTTACTATCGCTTCCTCCTGCCGGTCTAAATAGGATCTATATTGACCTAAAGGACGCTCCTTGGACGCCATGGACTTTTCTAAGTGATTCCAGGCAGAAAGGAATCAGGCTCCTTGCAGGCAGGTGCGCCCCTCTAGTGATATAAAGATGTATGTGAGGAATCGGGACCTCCTTCCTCCTGCGGTGGTTTCTAGTGAAGATCTGATATAAAGGAAAAAGGACATTTTTTAAATTAGTTTAAAAGATCTCCCGCCGAGGGCGGCGACCGTACCTTCCCGACGTCACGGTGACCCCAGAAGTGATGCCGGATCTGGATGGCCGGGGACGCTGCAGGGGACACATCGCGGGGACAA